TATATATATACACACACACACACACACACACACACACACATATACATGCTCACACACATACACTCACATCCTTACACCTACACTCACGCACATATATAGAAACAAAATATTTTTTTTAAACAGAGAATTTTTGAGCCCTAGTACTTGATATGAGAAGCTGATCATCTCAGTATTCCTCGCCCCCGCCCCCCGGATCAGACTGCACAATACCCAAAGATTGATTTCTTCCACTAAAGTGACAATTTCAAATAAGAATACAGTGGTCTTTTCCCTAAGCACTGCGTGGTTGCCAAAGAGTATCCACAGGGCCACAAAAGTAACAGAAAACAGGGACGTATACTGGTGGCCTGTGAGCCAGGGATCCTTGTAGATCATGTGGGAACACCCTAAGTCTCACCTCAACCGTGTCACCATCACAACGCTGTTGGGAAAACATGGACTCCATGTCTCTAGTAGTTTGGCAGCCAGTGTCCCTAGTGGTAAACAGTGCCCCGGGAGCTGCTGCACCGTTGTCACCACTAACAGGCCTGCCCAAAGCGATCTGCTATCCAATGGCAAGATGGTGATTATTTCGTTTCAAGCAGGATCAAGGAAAAGGAAAACTGGAGCAGATTCAAGGGTTTCTCTAGTGCAGAGGTCATCCTGCCTCCCTCTGGGTTTGCCTGAAATGGAAGATAGAGACTCCGGGTTACGGGTAGCATGTGAGGCATCCCATAGCTACACATGTCACCAGTCACTGTGAGGATGCCATAATGTTTTTATCTACTGTTGAGACTTTGGGGAAATGTAGAATGAAGTTGTACAAACTGATTCTGGCCAGCAGTCTCTTTGGCTTCTCTCACTACTATAGATTTTCCTACAGTACAAGAAGTTAAAATTATGAACATACTAGTTCTTGTCCTTGATCAAGGTGTGGCCTTAGAAAGCCTTTCTTTGTAGTAGGTGTGCCTTGAGTAGTTTTCCAGACAATTGTGGCCACAGGGCTTCTCTCTTGTAGTCTCTCCTTGTGTCCTTGCAAAAACTTGTGGTATTTTCCCCATCGTCCTGGTCCTGCTGCCTGGCAAGAGCAAGAAAACTGGATCAGAAAGTTCAGGAATGTGTGCGACCTTTGAAACACACATCAACATCCTTTGCCTGTAGGGCCCAAGTCTCCTGTTTCGAAACCTCTGGATGACACAATCTGTGACTCTTACAGGTAGCTACTGATTCCTTGTATGCTGAGTCATAGTCAACGAGGGAGGAATCTGGTGCCTGGACAGGAAGGAGCTGTACTTTACATAACCACAGTAATGCACACTGTGTGACAATGGCAGAGGGGATGGCACAGGTCTCAGAGCAGGTCCCAGAAGTCAACTCACACAAATGTGACCAATATTTTTTTTTAAATGTTTATCATTTTATTTTATGTGAATACGTGTGTGCCTGTGTGTGTGTGCAGTACCCACAGAGGCCAAAAGAGGGCATTGGATCCCCAGAACTGGGGTACCTAATGGTTCTAAGTGGCCATATAGGTGCTGAAGAGAACCAACCCTGACTGGTACCAGCAAGAAGTATTGATAGGGAGGGCTATGTATTCACTGAGAAATTAATTTAAAATATTCATGATTTTTCCCAGCAGACAAGAGAATGACAGCAAAGACAAGACTATCCTAGACATCAGGTTTCTCCAGCTCCCAGCCATCTTCTCCCCAGCTGTGTTTGCAAGGTGACCACTCCACCCAAGACGCCTGCTGAGCCCAGGCAGCTGCCAGCCATCCTGAGCTGCTCACTGCTTGTGAGATTCCAGCCTCACCGTGACCCTGAAACATGTGTTTCCATGCTACCAAGCTCTTGGGCATGGGGAAGGAAGGCAGAACTTTGCATTTGCGGATCCTGTAAGCTGGAGTCATCCTGGAAGCTTCAGAACCCTGAATTCTATGACATCACTGTAATGTGCATATATCTGTAAGCAGTATTTCCTCCACAGCCACAGGCAGGATGTGTGGCGAGGACGAGCTAACCCAGACACAGACAAAAACTGCTTGAACTGTCAGCCACGTTCAGTGACGTCACGGTTGGGTGAGCAAAAACTTACTCCTTAACAGCACCATATGCACTTCCGTATGTTTTTTTGCCATGAAACACTCAGCAGTGTTTAGGCAGACTGTATCCTATAGATACATTGGCATAGGACACTCAGCCAGCCAGTGGCTGCAGAGAATGCTATGTGTATATCACCAGCATACACTGCCATTGTGATTTGACCTGATGGGCGCTCTTGGATAGAATGTGTACCCCATCTGCCTTGCTAGGAAAACACTGGCCAAGTGTCGGCTGTCAGCAAGGTCTAATTCCCATTCTTTCTGGATGTCCATTTTGCCAATGAGCCCAAAAATAAATGGAAACATTTGTGCTGAGACGAGACCATGGTCTATTTTGGGTACTCTCGGGTTCTTCGTTGACCTAAGGCGAAGAAAGAATATGTTTTCAAAGACTTGAGAGTCTCTCCACAGGACAAGATGTCCTGATTTCATCACTGGGGAAGAACGTCTTCATTCAGCATCTTTTGTTGTTGTTAAAGTGAGGTCAGAACTGTTCTTCAGTAAAAATTTTTCCCCAGACCGTAAGTCTTGCCTGGCATTCAGGGTCGGTCTGCTTCAAGAAGACAAGGGCCTTGGAAATCAAGGGAAGGGCTTGAGTCCTGGGAATTCCACAGGGTCAGAGGCCAACTTTACTAGACAGGGGACAATCCCGAATTGAAATTCTTGGAAGTCATAGATCCTACACATTAGCAGTGAGGTGGCCTCTCTCTATTGCAGACTGACACACACTGAGCACCAATAAATCTTCACCTACATGCTTCTTCCTGCAACAGACACGGGTTCTCTCTTGGACTGGATCCACCTGGTATCTTGACAATGTCCCATGTTTCTGACATCCCAACTGGGATAGACGTTGCAACTTGAATTTCACCTCTGCAGCTTCACACAGTGACCTCTCTTGACCTCTTCTCTGCAGGGACTCTGACCTTGCCAGCTTTCCTGAATCCTCATGGCAAGGCTGTGAGACCCTGAAACCCTTACTTTCTACGTCTCTCCAAAGATCGCCGTGGGCAAACACTTCCAGGCTGTGCTTCCAGCTTGAGGCATGGTCTGGTCCCCTGGGGCCACAGCCACAGCAACCGCTGAGCTGCCTATGGTGGTCCGTTTAAGCTGGTGTGCCCTGGAGGGTCTATCTTCTTGGGAATTCTCCTTAGATGAAAGTATTTAGATTAGGTCTTCAGGTTTACACTGAGAGTCTTCCAAGTGTGGGAGGGTCCGTCCAGGCTCCTTTGGTTTCGTCCCAGTGCAAAGTGAACTGTCTCTCTTCAATGAAACTATTCTCTTTCATAATTACAATGTCTTTGTCGGCACTCACCTGATCTTAAGCCTTAAATATATTCATACATTTTTTTCCTAGTACAAATTACATATCGTTCACATCTTTCTGCTCTGCTTCTTGCTTTAAATTCTCGCCATAACTCAGATCAAACACACTGAGCAGTAACCGTTCCATTGCCCCAGTACTTTGCTGTTTTGAATTTCCTCCATGTGAAGTCAGTCAAATATCACAATGTAGCCAGATTCTTTGCCAGAGTGTAAAATGGTGTCCTCTCTTTTGATTTCCAGTAGAGTCTCTGCTTCTCTCTGAAGTCCCGTGAGCCTGGCCTTTACTTCCGCGATGCTATTTCATTGTTGTACTCTTCACTCTCACCAAATGGCCAGCTAGTCTCTGCTTACAACATTCTATGTCTTTTATTTTATTTTTATTTTACATTCTGGCCACAGTTTCCCTTCCTCCTCTCCTCTCAGCCCCTTCCCCCACCCTCCTCTGTTCCCACTCCCCAATCCACTCCTTCTTCATTTCTGTTCAGGAAAGGACAGCTCTCCCATGAATATCAACAAAACACAGCATATCAAGTTGCAGTAAGAATAAGCACTGTCCCGTGTGTGAAGGCTGGGCAGGGCGACGCAGTATGAGGAGTAGGGTCCCAAAATCCAGTAAAAGAATCAGAGACAGCCCCTGTTCCCACTCTTAGGAGTTTCACAAGAGGACCAAGCTACACAACTGTTACATATATGCAGCGTGCCTAGGTCAGTCTCATGCAGTCTCCCTGGTTGTTGGTTCAATCTCTGTGAGTCCCTAAGAGCCCAGGTTTTAGTTGATTCTTTGCATTTGGTGGTGTCCTTGACCACTCTGGGTCCTATTAATCCCCCCCCCCTTCTACAGGATTCCTGGATTTCTGACTAATGTTTGGCTGTGGGCACGTTGTTCACTATGTAGGCTGTCCACTGTGTATGCTGGTAACTGTGTATGCTGTTCCTTTAAGCACCATCTGCAGAGCCGATTTGGCGTCGCGAACTGATTCAATCTGTGCTTCTCTTGCACTATCTGATTTCTCCATCAATTTTAAGAGACAGCTTTGCTGAACGTAGCAATCTGGGTGGACAGCTGTTTACGTACAGCACTTAAACTATTTCCTGGCTCCTGGGGTTGCTAATGATCAACCTCTCTTCCTCTCTCTCTCTCTCTCTCTCTCTCTCTCTCTCTCTCTCTCTCTCTC